GGCTTTACATCAAGGAGTATTTCAGGCAGGACTTCACAGAGGGTTCCAATAAGAAATGGTGCACCTAAGTTATTGTTTTTATTGGAACAAGGAGGTTAGCCTGGCCTCTGATTGATACATGGCTAGATTTACCTCGCTGCACCTTCTCTGTGAGTGACTGCAGTGTGACCAGAGGAATGAGTCCCCTAGACGGGGGAGGAGGCAAATGAGTACAAAACAAATCTGGCCTATTTCTTGTTTTGATCCACTCCATCTATCTTTTACATCTTTGGCTGGGAGCAGACGGTGCAGAAGGACTGCATGCCATCCACATCTTATGGCTGCTCGGCAGAAGATGGTACAGTACGACTGCTAGCCATCCTCATCTCTTGCCTGCCCGGCAGAAGATGGTACAGTACGACTGCTAGCAATCCGTATCACCTGCCTGCTCACCATAAGATGGTTCAATAGGACTGACTGCAGGACTAAAGAGAATGACCTGGTCAAGTCACTCCAAATTTAGTTCCTGCGCCCATGTCTGCCCAGGCGCTCCCAGCCAACGTGGCCAGGAGCACCTCGGACACGACGAGGACGGCTATCAGTCGTATTGCACCGTCTGCTGCCAGAAGGCAATGGGTTGCTGCTACTGTGTAGCAATGCCATACCGTGTCTGCCAGCACCCAGGAGACATACGGTGATGGTTACCTGAGCGGGCTCCATGCTTGCCGTGGTATGGCGTCTGCACAGGTAACTCAGGAAAAAAGGCGCGAAATGATTGTCTGCCCTTGCTTTCACGGAGGGAGGGAGGGAAGGGGGGCCTGACGATATGTACCCAGAACCACCCGCGACAATGTTTTAGCCCCATCAGGCATTGGGATCTCAACCCAGAATTCCAATGGGCAGCGGAGACTGCGGGAACTGTGGGATAGCTACCCACAGTGCAACGCTCCGGAAGTCGACTCCTGCCTCGGTACTGTGGAAGCACTCCGCCGAGTTAATGCCCTTAGAGCATTTTCTGTGGGGACACACACACACTCAAATATATAAAACCGATTTCTAAAAAACCGACTTCTATAAATTTGACCTTATTCCGTAGTGTAGACATACCCTTAGTCTCTAAGGTGCCACAAGTACTCCTCATTCTTTTTGCTGATACAGACTAACACAGCTACCACTCTGAAATCTAAAATGAAGATAGGTTTCAGAGTAACAGCCGTGTTAGTCTGTATTCGCAAAAAGAAAAGGAGTACTTGTGGCACCTTAGAGACTAACCAATTTATTTGAGCATGAGCTTTCGTGAGCTACAGCTCACTTCATCGGATGCATACCGTGGAAACTGCAGCAGACTTTATATACACACAGAGAACATGAAACAATACCTTCTCCCACCCCACTGTCCTGCTGGTAATAGCTTATCTAAAGTGATCATCAAGTTGGGCCATTTCCAGCACAAATCCAGGTTTTCTCATCCTCCACCCCCCACACACAAACTCACTCTCCTGCTGGTAATAGCCCATCCAAAGTGACAACTCTCTACACAATGTGCATGATAATCAAGTTGGGCCATTTCCTGCACAAATCCAGGTTCTCTCACCCCCCTCCAAAAAACACACACACAAACTCACTATCCTGCTGGTAATAGCTCATCCAAAGTGACCACTCTCCCTACAATGTGCATGATAATCAAGTTGGGCCATTTCCTGCACAAATCCAGGTTCTCTCACCCCCCTCCAAAAAACACACACACAAACTCACTCTCCTGCTGGCAATAGCTCATCCAAACTGACCACTCTCCAAGTTTAAATCCAAGTTTAACCAGAACGTCTTGGGGGGGGGGGGGGGGGTAGGAAAAAACAAGGGGAAATAGGCTACCTTGCATAATGACTTAGCCACTCCCAGTCTCTATTTAAGCCTAAATTAATAATATCCAATTTGCAAATGAATTCCAATTCAGCAGTTTTTCGCTGGAGTCTGGATTTGAAGTTTTTTTGTTTTAAGATAGCGACCTTCATGTCTGTGAGTGCGTGACCAGAGAGATTGAAGTGTTCTCAGACTGGTTTATGAATGTTATAATTCTTGACATCTGATTTGTGTCCATTTATTCTTTTACGTAGAGACTGTCCAGTTTGACCAATGTAAATGGCAGAGGGGCATTCCTGGCACATGATGGCATATATCACATTGGTGGATGTGCAGGTGAACGAGCCTCTGATAGTGTGGCTGATGTTATTAGGCCCTGTGATGGTGTCCCCTGAATAGAATAAAGGGGGGAGGGGGGGGAGAGAGCCTGGATTTGTCCTGGACATGGCCCACCTTGATTACCATGCACATTGTAGGGAGAGTGGTCACTTTGGATGAGCTATTACCAGCAGGAGAGTGAGTTTGTGTGTGTATGGGGGTGGGGGGGGTGAGAAAACCTGGATTTGTGCTGGAAATGGCCCACCTTGATTATCATGCACATTGTAGGGAGAGTGGTCACTTTGGATGAGCTATTACCAGCAGGATAGTGAGTTTGTGTGTGTGTTTTTTGGAGGGGGGTAAGGGGGTGAGAGAACCTGGATTTGTGCAGGAAGTGGCCCAACTTGATTATCATGCACGTTGTGTAGAGAGTTGTCACTTTGGATGGGCTATTACCAGCAGGAGAGTGAGTTTGTGTGTGTGTGGGGGGGGGGGGGGTGGAGGGTGAGAAAACCTGGATTTGTGCTGGAAATGGCCCAACTTGATGATCACTTTAGATAAGCTATTACCAGCAGGACAGTGGGGTGGGAGGAGGTATTGTTTCATGTTCTCTGTGTGTATATAAAGTCTGCTGCAGTTTCCACGGTATGCATCCGATGAAGTGAGCTGTAGCTCACGAAAGCTCATGCTCAGATAAATTGGTTAGTCTCTAAGGTGCCACAAGTAAAATGAAGATAAGCACTTGGAAGACATGCATGCTGTTAAGACAGTGTACAGCAAGGAGTGTAAACCAATATGGCTTCACTGCAAATTTTGAGTCTCTTCAAACAGAAATCCTTCAAAATCTGGAAATCTGACCCTAGTAAAGCTAATATACAGGAGCATAAATTATAGCAGGCAGTAAATACAAGGGGAAATTGAAAGGGCCAAAGTGGATTTCAAAGAGCAAATAGCTAAAGTTGTACAAACAAATGAGACTGCAACCCTGTATTGTGCTGACCAATGTTATTTTGTCTCCTTGTACTCCTCTGTCCATCTGTCTGCATCCACCTGTTGTCTCTTGTCTTATGCATAGATTGTAAACCTCTGGGGGCACGGATCTTTTTGTTTTGCTTATACAGAGCCTGGTACAGTGGGGTCCTGGTCCATGACTGGGGCTGCTAAGTGCTACAATACAAATAATAAATAATGTTGATAAATAAAATGTAATAAATATTGAAGGAGAAAATCTAAACTACTCATACACGTTAACCGAGTTCTGAATTAACTGTATCAGTCCAGGAAAGGAACATGGGCATCATTGTTGACAGCTCAGTGAGGACCTTTGCCTAATGTGCAGCTAATGTGGTCTAAAAAGCAAACAAGATGCTAGGTTGTATGAGGAATGGGATGATGAATAATACAGAGAATATTCTAATGCCAAGTCATCTGGAATACTGTTTACCCTACTGGTCACCCCATCTCAAAAAGGATACTACAGAACTAGAGGGGTTCAGAAAAGAGCAACAAGAATGATCAAGGGCATAAAAAGAGCTCTGATAGGAAGAGAGACTTAAAAGGCTGGTTTGCTTACCTTAGAAAGGAGGTGAATAAGAGGGAACATAGTAGAAGTATATAAAATAATGAATGGTAGAGAGAAGAGATCAGGAATTTTTGTTTAACTTGTCTGATAACACAAAAACAAAGGGATATTCAATAAAATTAAAAGATAAATTCAAAACTGGTAAGTTGTTTTTCATACATTAACATGTAATTAAACTCTGGAAATCACGGCTTTACAAAGTTGTTCAAGTCAGAATTTAATCCAATTCAAGAAGAACTGAATATTTTTAATGGATATCAAGAATACCCAGAGTTGCCTTACTAATGATAGCAAATTTTGAGGAAGAGATGTTAAACCTCATGCCTCAGGGCTTAACTGATTTTTAAATATTAAAGACTCAGCTGAGACTTAATGTGGGGGGCAGATTATTCCAGAATTTCCTGTTGCAGGGTTCTTAAACCTTCTGCTGAAGCATCTGGTACTGGCCACTGCTGGAGACAGTATACTGGATTAGATGGACCTTGGACCAGAGACAATAGGGCAATTCCTATGTTTCTACATACTCCCTTGCAAAACAAAATTCCTGCTTACTGCTCTGCTCCCTAGCATAGCAAAAAATGTTGTATGCCAACAGTCTAAAGATTAGCGTTCTAGAAAACTGCATTTCAAACAATGTATAATATGGAAAATAGCTATTTTATCTTTAAAATAGAAGTAGTATAATGCATTGAGTTGTCTGACAATATTTTAAAAATACATCAATTTAAATTTATATTGCACTGGTTTACATTTTTTTAAAATCTTCAGTGGAAATAATAGGATTGATCAGAGGGAAAAGGAACAGATAGACATGAATCAAAGGCTACTTACAACCTATAGGTAAAAAATACTTACATTACAGGTGAACATGTGGCTGCAGCTTAAATCTGAAAATCTATATTTTTAAAAGGAAAATGGCCATCTTTCTGTACAATTTTATCACATTTCCAGAATGGCTCTTTATTTCATTGTCTGAGAGACTGGATAATTTAATTACTGTTTTATTTCCCTACGCATGGTACTTCTCATCCATAGTGCACTTTCACTTTTACTTTTTACTCCCCCTCAAAATCCAGATGTGGAAAATAAGCAAGGAATGCATTTGTTCAGTTGTAGCAAAGTAATTGGACAATCAGAAATGCAGATTGTCAGAAATAATTTGATCATTGTGCCAGAATTGTAAAATTTAGAATGAGCAATTGCTATTCTTGTTACAATAGCATGTTGATAAGAGCCATGCAAACTTTTTTCTTTTTTGTAGAAATTTAGAAGGTGATGTTGCCGTACGAAGCTCAGCTGCTGTCTATACATACTGCAAATCACGAGGGTTGTTTGCAGGGGTATCTTTAGAAGGAACATGTTTAATTGAAAGGAAAGAAACTAATCGCAAGTAAGTCGGATTCAAAATCATAGACTCATAGAGTTAGAAGGGACCGCAAGGGTCATCTAGTCTAACTGCCTGCCAAGATGGGGGATTTGTGGTGTCTAAATTGTCCAAGACAGATGACTATCCAGCCTCTTTGTGAAAACCTCCAGTGAAGAAGCTTCCACAACCTCCCGAGGCAATCTGTTCCATTGTCCTACTGTTCTTACAGTTAGGAAGTTTTTCCTGAGATTTAATCTATATTGTTCATGTGTGTTTCTTCCATATTTTGTACTGCATCATCAAATGGGTTACACTGGAATTTTAGTGGGATGGACTTTTAGGAAAATATTCAAAATAAATCTTATAGTTAACTTTGTAGAATTGAGATGCTCTGATATACTACTTTTGGTTGTGTTGAGTTCACAGCCAGTTCCCTAATTTATAAACAAATCAGGGTAAGGTAATTCATTGTTCAGATACTTTAAATGTCTACTGTACTTTCAGGGTTAATAGGTGAATATTTGATATATATTGGTATAGTGCAGTGGTGGGCAACTTAGTGCCCGCGGGCCGCATTCAGCCCACCAGGGTAATCTGATTGCGCTGGCCCGCTGCTTCCCACAGCTCCCATTGGCTGGGAATGGCAAACCGCAGCCACTGGGAGCTGCGGGGGGCCATGCCTGTGAACGGTCAATGTCGGCAAAATGTCTTGCAGCCTGCAATCAGATTACCCTGTTGGGCCGCAGGTTGCCTACTACTGGTACAGTGGAACAAATTCTATCCCTGGAATGATTTCAGTAGAAATTGCAGGTGATTATCGAAAGCAAAATTGGGCCCATGGTATCTCCAGAAGCATTAATGGTGGAATTTGAGTATTGAAATTATATTGCCTCCATATGAACATTTATTCCACTGCACCATGCCAAGAGTTTATTTCTGATGTGAGTTATCTGTCTTTTTTTCATTAAAACAAGAAGTTTTTGAACTTCTGATGTATTAGATTTGGCAGGGAATGGCAGATATCTGGTTCAATGTCTTTTTAAAAATAAATTAGGGATTGTGATTTAGAGCCTCACTAAAGATGCTCAAGAGCTGCTTCTTTCTGTTTTGTTTTGTTTTACCCATTGCTATCAAAACTGTCAGAATTGATGGGAGATTTAGGTCCAGTTTTCTAAATCTTAAAATTATTTTCCATTCTGGTGCCATTGTTGTAAACATACACATACTAGATTTCTTTAACTTTATTGTCAGCTGCTTTCTAAGATGATAGCAATACTGTAAAATCAAAATTATACATAGATAATATGATAAAACTAAAATCTTTCCAAAATACTTTATTTTTTATCCCTCCTCCCAAGAAAATTATACATTTGCTTTAACACATGGTTCCAAAGATACACTAAAATGCAAAGAAATGAGGTTTTCCATGCTGTTTTCTGACAGGTTTGAAATCTTGTTTGAGTCAGACCACTTGGATGAAAAATACATTAAAATCAAACCAGTCTGAGTTGGAGACAATTAAAATTTTAAATTGAATATGTCTCCTTTTTCTAAAAATCTCCAATCCTAGTATTGCTGTTTATAAGAGTAAAGGTTTTTAAAAATCCGAAATGTACTGTACCAATTTTAAGCTGTACAGTAGCAAAGGCATTAATTCATATTTCTTAAAAGCACGGTTTTGACAGGCCCTTATGTGAGTACATGTAGAAGATATGCGGGGACGCATGCGAGCAGGTTCTCCCCTTGTACAGCCGAGGCAAGGTCAGAAAGCAAGATGCACACGCAGCAGGGAGAAGAACAGGTTAGGGATATGTCTCCCATTGGAACAGGCAGACCATGCTAGTGGGTGGGTCCTAAAGGTTTGTGTACGCTGTGAACTAGGCCACTCAAGGAGTCTAAGTCTGTGAATTAGGCCACTCAGTGAGTAGTTAATTGTACATGCTTAGAAACAAATAACACATCCACTGAAATGTTTATGGCATATTTGTGAAAACAGATACTGTTGAACATTACCAAGAGTCCAGTTTTCCTTCTTGCTCTAATATGAAAGGACTCTTTAAATAAATAAATAAAATCTGTAATCACAATATAGCAAGAGTTTTAGCAAGTTGGTACCACTTGTTTTCTATGGTTACCCAGAGTTATTGTGGTCGATATTAAAAAGGCCACATTAAAAGCCCTTTAAGCTATAACTGTTTTCTGTGAAATCACTGTTCTTTCCTTGTTTAATGCTGACTTTCAGTGCAGCAGATGATCCTGCAGCTGGCATCTGCTAGTGCGCGCACACAAAAAAATCCTGATGTTTCATTTTTTGCACACCACCATGCTTTTCTGTAGAAAATGAGCTGGAACAAAATATTGGTGAAAATTAAGCTGAAGTAATAATAAAGGGAAACAAGTCTGTTCCCTGTACTTTATTGTTCTCAATTTATATTGAGCATTGAACAACTTCTGCCATTCCTTCATGGGTAATCAATTTAAGAAATCAAGTAAGTGTTATTTATACAACATGTCGAAATGGCATGGTACATAGGGAGTCTTTTAAACTGTAGGCTAAACTAGAAGTATAGATGAGATGATGATTAAAGCAACTGATATAATTTTTTGTGCTAGATTTTATGGTCAAGATATTCGAGCTAGTGCCATTTTATTTGGTGATGTACCTCGTCTTACTCAATCAGAAGATCTGCATGAAATTCTGGATTGCTTTACTGAACAATATGAAAATGAGGAGCAGAAAAACAATGCAAGGAAAGCAGCAAGGGAACAAAGGAAGGTTTGCACACATCTTTTTCCATATTGGCTCTCTGTTGCTAAATCCTTTCATCTACAATTAGACCTAATCCTAATATTGCTGTGTTGATGGCACTCGCATTGAAGTCATTGGATATGTTAAGTGCTGACTGATGGAAGGGTAGGGTGTCTTCTTTGAGTATACTGTATTCACTCAAGCGCACTGTTCAGTATTGCCAGGGGAACCTCCTCCACAGAAGAACCCTACTATTACATTAAGTTTTGCATACTCCAGTCTAACAAAATAATTCTTCATTACACTGTTTCCGAGAAGACAACCAACTTAAAGAGACATATCTGTATTTGACACACTACAATCAGAAATATTCAAAATGTTCTTTTCAGCTGCAGCTTGATCTTCAAGAAAAATGTTAATTCTTAAGAATATATGGAACAAACCAGGGTTTTTCAGTTGAGTGTTCTGCTCCTTCTGTTTTCCATCCAAAATTATAACTCTTGGATTGGGCCATCATATTTAATCTCTGAGAAGATGCTGAGAATTATGGGAAAAGACATTATCAATGTCTAGGCAATATTATCTCTGTAGATGTAACAGCTGATGCTATTGAGAGAGACTATAATATATATAATTTATTTTCCACCTTTTTGTTAAAACATCAAGCAGTAACATTTATCATTTACACATATAACTTCGTAGTGAATTATTGTGTGGCTATATCAAAATCCATCTTTAGTTTTATAGTTTGAAATGTAATGTCATCAAGAGGAAATATGTGATGGGTGCTTCTTAATTTCTTCTGGACTATCTCCAGGCCTTCAGTTACATTAACCTATACTTGCTAGTGAGGAGTGATTTTTGCTATTTTTAAAATTATTTATTTTAGGCTAATGATCCACCTGTTAAACCATCATCGAGGCCACAATCACGTAAACCACCTGTGTATGCTGCAACAGCAGGTATGAGTGTTTTGATGATTACATTAAATTGTTGCTATATGTGAAAGAAGAGTATTAGAAATACTCTGAGTATTGATGTTTTTATGCTATTCAACCCCCTTTTCTTGTGTGAGATGGTAACTTCTCTATAACAGCTTGATTTGTCAAAAAGTGGAAGTATTTTGGGATAGATTCATGAAAGATAATGGGTGAAATTTTTATGGTTTTTAACTTCTAATGTACTTTTATCGAATTTCTAAATGCAACATAACGTTTACTAAACAGACACTACAAAATGGCTGATTGTATTATTACTACATATTGTAGATGACAGCTGAATATAGAAATTAGTGCCAGTTTTACAGTCATGTATGTAATAGCTCAGAAGGGATATTAAAGTTAATTGGGTACATAATGGTCCACTTTGTATTGTTATACCAATAAAATAAAAACCAGCAGGATCTTATTAAAGGGAAAAAGGCAAAATACCACATTTATTGTGAATACAGAAAGAATCATGGTAAGCAGTTAGTTATAGCTATAACATTCCATTCAATTTCATATTTATTCACACATTCATTCATGCACACGTACACACACACACACAGGTTCTGCAAGGTTGTTATCATAGTTACCAGCCTTAGAGTTGCTCATGCCAAGCCACTGGCCAGGTGGCCTGGACATGAGGAGGGAGCAGGGCCTTGTCAGATGCTCATCTGATGCCCCTGGAAGTTGGTTTGCAGAATCAGAGTTCCCCAAAGTTCTCACTTTTTAGAGTCTATTTTTATAGGAATTTCTTCCTATGCCAGTCTATGGGAATTGCTTCATCATGCTGTTGCTGAATCAATCAGCAGATACCACATTCCTGACAGCTCTGTGCTGCTAGATGTTATCTTGTTCTTTGGTTCTCCCATTCTTGAGGCTGTTGGGTGGATTCCAGTCTGCCCTCTGGGGGGGGGGGGTCCTCTGGTTATTTCCACTCGACTCCTTCTTCAGCTGATGGACACTGGATTCTTAGGCTGGCACCTCCCTGATCATTCAGTTATTATCCACACCAAGCATCCATCCACATACATCCTCTATCTCTATTTTAATCACAATTGTTAATACAACAAAAGGGCGGGGAGTCTCTGGGTGCTATTTCTGTTGTTACAGAGTATTGCTTTGAGTTTCTCTCTCTCTGTGAATTGCTTTGAGAACAGACTCTGTCTTAGAATGTACTAACGCAATTAGCAGCTTGCAAGTTTCACACATAGAGGGAGAGAAACAGTACCAAAAACCAAGAGACCTCTTAATTAGTAATACCCTGGAATTTAAACTATGGGGAATCAAACTCATTTGTGATTTTAATACAGAACTTCTTTAATATGATCCAACAGTATGATGGATTTTTTTTTCCTATTTAAGGGGAATGTTTTCTTGTAAAAACTACTGACTTTTAGGAGGAAGTTAATCTCTTCTGGTCTAGGCCCAATGGGCTGCCTCTTTTCATCATCCTCTTCAAATAGATAGATGAATCTTTCACTAGGATACTATCTTAATTCCTTACTCTATTTTAGTCTTCCTTCTGCCACACAGCAAGTAGGGTATGTGATGCTCCTGCTGATATTTTTTTCCCCTGAAGCACCTTTCCTATTCTATTGGGAAATAGATTAATCAAGAGTTTCATTCCTCAGTCCTAGTGCAGTAAATAGCTATTTCTTCTCTCCACCACCACTTCTTGGCTAACTACAATAATTTTGTGGATACTGAACATATATTACAAGAGCAGAAAATAAAGTAAATTGACCTATATTGATATGTTATATAAATTAATTATTTACATTTTTCTGCAGCTGTAAAAAATCCACACAAACTTTATCCTGAACTTCCCAATTACCATCCCACGGAGGGTAAGTACTACACTTTGAATTTATTTTATAAAGGCCACATGCAATGGGTGTGAGACCGTATGGGAATATTTTGGAAAATGTTATACTTTTTAAAAAAAATTCTGTGCTGCATCCCTTTGTTATATTTATTATCCAGACAAATCAATATTTCCTTCTGGTTTTTTTATGTTTCAGAGTAGCAGCTGTGTTAGTCTGTATTCGCAAAAAGAAAAGGAGTACTAGTGGCACCTTAGAGACTAACCAATTTATTTGAGCATAAGCTTTCATGAGCTATAGCTCACTTCATCGGATGCATTCGATAAAGTGAGTTGTAGCTCATAAAAGCTTATGCTCAAATAAATTGGTTAGTCTCTAAGGTGCCACTAGTACTTGTTAGGGGGCTTATTCCTTCACCCGCTTCCTTCCCTGGTCCTTCTCGCATGAACAGAGAGCAACAATACCCAAAGTCCAAAGGTGCAAACAATTTGATGTTTATTGGGGTGAACTTCCAGCAAGCATGATTACAGTTTCCTTCCTTAGTGTCCTCCTTCCCAGCTCTGACACCACAGAGCCTTACACCTGTGTCCTTGTTCCCATTCCTGCCCTTAGCCAAACATGATTCCAATTTCCTTACCCACATTCCCTGTTCCCATCTCCCCCTTTAGCAAAACATGATTCCAATTTCCTTACCCACATTCCCTGTTCCCATTCCTCCCCCCCCCCACCCACACACACTCACTCACTTCCTGATTGACTGCAGACTATATCGTAAAACTTGAGTTCTGCTTTGCTATACCTTAACCAATCATCTTCCTGAAATTTAACTAACCAATCCTAACATATTGTAACATGATTATGTAACCAATTATATCCCACCACCTTAATTAGTTTACACCCAGCAAAATTAATTATACAGCAGACAGGAACAATCACAGAACCAGACAGAGATTATACAGACAAACAATAGCAAAGTGGGAACAATAATGACAAGACAATACAGAAGTGAGGATTTCACATCCCAGCTATTGATAAGTGAGTTCTTGCCAGACAGGATGCTATCAAACTAAGTTTCCTTTTACATTTTCTAGGCACTTCTCTTTCTCTGGAGGCGATAGGCATTATCAGGACAGGACTGTATTCCTAACAGCCCAATAGCACCTGATTTCAATGTGACTAGTTTGGAATGTGAGGATGTGACTGTTCGCTTCCTAGCTTATGGCTGCCTCTGCTGCTTAGCCAAAGGCCTTAGCCTAAGCACAGGTCCTCACTGTCACAGTAAGAGAAGGCCCTTACACCGGCAGACAGTTATTTTGATTCTTTCTTTTGTACCTCTATAACTAGCCAAGTGATAAGAATACACCTAAATTCTTAGAGTATAGGCCTTTACAGACAGGCCTGAATATCTATAGCCTAACAGTACTCCTTTTCTTTTTACCTTTATCTTGTTCCCTGGCTTTATGCTCAGACAGCAGGTGAATCTCACCTTCCTTTCTGTCTCCTTGTGGCCTAACTTCTTACATTTCAAAAATCCTTTTCCCCCATTCAATATACATGTTCAGTCCTATAAATAGACTATATTTAATGATACCACCTTAATGAGGCAAAGGAGATCACTATGACATAATAACCTTTGACCAAGTCTACCCTCTCGTCTCTGTGCACAAAGTAGTGTAAATCCTGTTTTAAATAAACAAATACCCACAATGGTCAAATCTGATTAGCATCATAAGGTTAGTTTGCCATTGCATTTACATCCTTTCACAGGATTATGCAATGGTTTGAGATTATAAATCTGCTTTTTGGTGTAACACAGAGATCACTTGTGCTGTGGTCTGGACTGTCAAGTTTTTTGAGGTCATAACAAGGGCCTGGCTCATTTTCATGCCTAACTCATATATGATTCTGTGGCACCCAGCACCACTTGTAGTTTATGGAGTTTGTACTGTGAGAGCTTGCCATCACAGATCATTAGAAGTAATTTTGAAGCCCAAATAATTTAACCTTTCTTCTGCACCTGTTTCCCCAAGTATGTCTCACCCTTCCAATGGAAAAAGCAAGTTTGCATTGATCTCCTGAAACCACTTATAAGGTCCACAAACTATTTTGCAAGGCAGTGAAATATAATATTATCCAAATAAATTGGATAGGCTTTTTGATCTATGAAATACATTAGCTGCTTGTCAACCATGAAGTTTTATACAGACAGTAAGTCTTGGACAGTGCGAAGATCAGACCCAAAACTTTGGTACTGCATAAACATACACATTGTCTCACATACACACAATGCTTAAAAAAAATTAAAATATTTCACCAGAATGTTTCAATGTGTTTTCAATTTAAAAATTTACAAGTAAAAATAACTACAATGATCCAGTTATATTAAAAACCGTTACAAAAACAAATTAGTTGTGGTGTTCAAAACATCCACGAAGTATGATTTAATTTAACCCCAAGGTCTTGACCAGTGTCCCAATTACGTTATCTCATGTGCACAAATCATTAATAAATTAACACGATGCATTTTTAAACACACAAAAAGAGAAAAAAAGTTAAAACTTATAATACTTAAAAATATTTAATCTTCATTTTAACCACCTTCCTTATTGCTTCACCTCTGCCCTCTCTGTTTGTAGTTTTCTTAAAAGGAAAAGCTATTTCTTGTAATTTCTGATAGTAATACATATACTTGTTGGGGAAAAGTGTTCAATTTAGGAGATAGGTGTCAGGTTTCATTGGCAACATCCAGTCCTACTTCTGAAAACCAAACGAGAGAAATGCACACAGGGGAAAAGACAGAGGTGGAAAAAAGATAGGAAAATTCTACTTTTTTCTGTAATATTTGGTTTCTGGAAACCCACAGAAACATCACACATTCTCTAACCTTTTTAGAAACATTGGAACCTGACAAACATTTGTCACAGTCAGGCTGCTAAAATAGAACTTTCAGTTCTGCCTCTTCTGAAGGGGAGAGGGAGTTGGGGGTAGGTGATATTTTGTCTTAGGGTATGTCTACACTGGCAAGGTTTTGCCCCACAAGTTATACCACTTCTGTTAAAACGCTGGAATTAAACCACTGTTGTGTGTCCACACTGCGCTCCTTGTGACACTGGAGCGCATCCACATTAGCAGCTCTTGCAATGGCAAAGAGAGCAGTGCATTGTGGTAGCTATCCCACTGTGCAACTGGCCACAGGGTGCTTTGGGAAGGGTTTGCAATGCCTCTTGGGGAAGGCATAGTGTCACATGATGCAGGTTTCTCAATCCCATTGTTCCATGGGCATCCTACCACATTGCCAGCTGCTTTTCAACTGAAGTGTGTGGGGAGGGGAGTGTGTGTGTGTGTGTGTATGGGGGAGAGAGAGTTGTGTTTTGGGGGACAGAGTGTGTCAGCATGCTGTCTTGTAAGTTCAGACATCAGCAGAAAGCAACCATTCCTAAGGCAGGGAGAGGGGGAAAACCCGACATCAGCCCCTGCCTCCTTCCCTAGGCTCTTTGCACAGCAATCTCTCTCTCTCTCACACACACACACACACACACACACACACACACACACAGCCTCTGTGTTCAACAGCATGAGCATTCTGCATTAATGGTTTGCTTTGTGTTCCATCACAGGTTAGCACAGCATGCTTTGAAAGGGGAGGGGTGCATGTCTCCAGGGCAGGCTGAGTTCAAAACAATGAGCAGAGCGGTCACTTGAGGCATTATGGGACAGCTCTGGAAGCCAATTACAGAGCAGAAAGCAATCAAGTATTTACATTGGCAATAGAGTGCCAGAGCTTCTGCACAAATAGTCTTACGACTCTCGTCGAGGTGGTTTTTTTGCAACTCTGCAAATGAGGAGTTTCTGCGCACAAAGAGGCTTGGCAGTGTGCACACGTCTGCAGTTTGAGTGCAAAAAGCTGCTTTACTGCACAGAAACTTGCCAGCGTAGACAAGCCCTACTCAGCAGACCAATTTTCCTTGCATAGTAGTCCTGTCATCCAGGATATCTGCAGCCTTATAGGTATTACGCAGCTCTTAAAACTATAGATATTTTCTGTCATTAAGCTCTAAAATGCTGATATCTTATTCTTGTAGTAAAGAGATAAGTGGCACATAAGAAAATTGCTGCTAAGACTAATGCCCTGATCCTGCAACCTGGTCTTTTAGCACTGACCCCTGTATTTGTGTAGTGCCAAGACTGATTTAAACAGGACCCCACCTAGGAGCAGAGGCCTGTGCTACCAAGTTACCATTGCAGGGTTAAGGCCTGTTGTTATATTATTCAGGTCCTTAAGTAATATTATATGGTTTCAACATTTAACATAAATCTCTTCTGTTGCCAGTGAAGAAAACTACAATAATTTGTAGACAACACATAGAAGTAGAAATAAAATGAATCCTCTAGAAGCCATGTTTTAGATTTTATATCATAAACATTATTGCTGGAATACTGGATCTTAGCATATAGCAACAGTATGTCCATTGTCATCAGTAGGAAGGGATTAATTGCAAAAAAAAAATAACAGTAACAGAAGAGTTGAAACATTTTATACTTCTATGATGTTACATGAAAGAAGAATTTGATTTGTGTTTGAGACATTTTTAATTATCTACTATGGAGACCTTCTGAGTTATCTTGATGAGTAAAGTTTTATATAACCTGTTTCAAGTCCAAGACAGAATATTAAATTAAAAACATGTCTCTAAACTGATACTGTGATACTTGATTCATATGCAAGCAGAGCAGACTGAGCTTTTATACAGCTCAATTCTGTCAAGACTAATTCTTAGATTAATGCACTAAAGTGTAAATGGTGTTTCCAAAGGAAGATTTTAAACGTTATCAGAAATGGGAAATATTACATATTTTAGTGCCTGTTTCTTTAAAGTGTTGTAAATCACTAGGAATTATTACAACTCTGAACATAAAACATCACAGTAGTACCATTATTAACTAAATAGGCTGGGATTATCAAAGAAATCTCATGGATTTGGCGATACAGCTCCCTTAGGGTCTTTTGAAATTCCCTGTCCTAG